ACAGCTAGCTCCGCCAAACTGTTTCCTATTGGCACGCACCTTCCAGAGTCTTCTAGCAGGTCCCTGCCAATAAACAACAACTGGACGGAGCCGGCCGTGATGGCACAGCCAGCTCCGCCCAGTTGTTGTTTATTGACAGATCAGCGTCCTCAGGTCATTTGGGGATGCTGACCTGTCATTACAACCGGGCAGAGAGAATTCCTCCTAAAAAATAACAGTGCACTTCCTGGTATATTAGTGTACCTAGGTACACATGTGCAGTCTCATAGCTGTATATCTTTAGTGTGAGATCTAAGGCACTGCTGCCCGACTGCTAGTCTCAGGAGACATGAAGTGAAATTTGGTGATGTCACTACTGTGTTGCTCACTGTTCTCTTTGTTGGAGCCTCTAACATAAGGGAACAAAGCCTTGCCTCTACCAAGATGGCCGCTTCCACACAGAGACACAGTGCAGTACAATACATATTAAGTCGGTTATAGGGAAAGAACATCATCAGGGAGACCTTGAACTCATTGAAGTCATTTAGCAGAAATACATATCATGGGTTTATTTAAATGTTTTTAAATATAGTTTATATTGCTTTTTTTCTGGGTGAGTGGTTGGAACACTGGTAAACATATTCCTTGACAAAAGAACACTTTTGTTGTTGAACCAAGTCTATGAATCAGGTGGTAATAACTAAGTCATTAGGTTAGCTATACACACTTAGGGGCAGATTTATAAAGGTTTTCCCCAGAGTTTAGCTGGGTAAACGTCATACGCACTGCATTACTGCTGCTAGATGGAGCTGGGAAGCACACTTCCTATGCTTCTTGGCTTCATCTAGTGGCAGCAATGCAGTGTGAATGGTGTTTGCTCAGTTATATGCTGGGTGAACTGTTTATAAATCAGGCCACAAGATTTCTCAACAAATAAAAATCAATAGATTTCTCCATCCACGCTGTTTAGCATGAATTAATGAATCTGCTGGCTAGTTTATTCAGACAGCCACTGCCTGAATACTCAAACAGCAACTGCATCTGATCAGATTCAGTCACTGCTTGGCTAATAATTTTCCACCTAGCTTAGTCGATTTTTAATAGACTTTTGTTGAGCCACGTGGTTCCAACAGGGCCACCCATGGCTCAAATTTCGGCCAATTCAACAGTAATCGGCCAAAAATCAACCTGTGTATGGCTAGCTTTAGCTGTATGTAGGTGACCTGGACACACTTCTTTCAAGAAGAGTTATAATATAAGATGAAATTATAAGAGATTATTAATAGGGTTATTATTGCACAATGTTATTCACATTGCCATGGATGGCATTAGTAACACATTTCCTATTAGCCAAATGATACTCAGAGGTGTTAAAGTGTATGTGTGGCAAAAACTTTCTTACTTCCTGTGTCCCGTTGAAAATATTTCCCTTCACTGGCTGTCTTGAAGGTGCAACAAGAAGTGAGATGAATTCACCTCTTACACCAAAATAGGAACAACCTTTGGAAGATTTCACTTCATCTCCTGTTTTGAAGACAACTGCAAAATTTCCAATCACGTTTTGTCCTGGCGACAATGATAACAAGGACAAATAGAGAGGATGAATCTACATGACGGGTTCTAAACCTTCCACACTCTATCCAGAACTAAAAAGAAAGTTGTGGTAATAAATACATTTTAATAGCCATTGCTCTATTTTCTTTGTAATCAATACTAGTGACAGTCCCATTTAATCTGAATCAAGCACTGGAAACACTGGTACAAACTTAAATGTCTTCCATGTGATATAAACAGGACTTTTTCTACAGCTCTTACATTCATACTGTATATAGTACTGTCTTACAACCTTCTAAAGAAGAAAACCAGGCCACAGACATTGTTCATTAAAACAGATATCACAAAATACTAACAAATACATTTGCTGTCTCGTCCATTTTGTATCAGCAGGCCAAATGTTTATTGGTTCATTCTTTATCTTGGTATGGCATCAATAGTGAGGAACTGTAGAGCACTTTCAACCTTGCCAATCCACACAGTTTACAGGTTTCAGTTTTGCTGGATATTTCTTTGCTGCGGCTGCTCTGAAGTCATTCACTATTCTCTTCCAGATATGTCATGCATGCATATGGCCTACAGTATCAAACTGAAACATTCGCCAACCAGGGCAATGAAAGCAGCCATACAATATGGATTCACAGATGTTATCATAATATGGATGAACTTTCCATTGCAGTCATTCAGTATCCATGAAGTTATTATCAAGGCAGAATAGTGGAATTCACCCACATATGTGAAAAAAATTGCAAATTTTGATTGCTTTAAATGCACATTACGGCCTCATAAGAACTTTCACTAAGGGTTCATCAGCTTTATCAAAACATGTGGTGCCTAAAATATTACACATTTAAAAAAATATCTCTGTTGTCCATCTGTTTTTGTTTTGAGTGACAATGCATTATGGTTGATTGACAAAATGAATAAAGAATGTTCAGCTAGCTTAGTGTTCACTTAAGTCTTCCAATCATGTGCAAGGAACTTCTTGATCTATTTTTTTCTAATTTATCTTGTACATGATTATGTATTCAAAGTGAACATATCTTCACTTTATCAGCTTAGTAAGCATTCACTTTGAACACTGTCTATTCCTTTAGTTAACCAACCACATTGAGTCAGTGGTGGCCATGTCTGGCCTTGATTCTCAAGAACTAATTTATTTATTTGCAGCATTTATAATGCATTGACGTATTAGGTGTTAATTATTCTAGAACCTAGAACCATTCATGTCAGTCACTGCCCCTAAATGAGCTTACAATCCAATATCCAAATCACACCAAAAAAAACAAAAATCACACAAACTTTTTAGGTCAGATGCCAATGAACTTTGCACTATGTTTTTAGATTTGTTGGAAAGTGACTAAGAGGGAAAAATCAGAATAAACCCCATACATGTATATGTAAAACATACAAACTCCATGAGGATAGTATCCTTGGTGGGATAGTAACTCAAGACCAGAGTTGAAAGGGAACAATGCTAAACACTTACCACTGTGTTGTGGGTGTATATGCAGTTTACTTTTTGTTATACATTCACCACATGGCACCTAGAGCTGTGGCTGTTGTGACATAAGGAAAGGAGAAGCCATTGAGGGGCTGTATATTTCCCCTCGCTTTCTATCCTATGTACAGGAATGGCGGAACCCAATCCAGGTTTTCGGGTTGACTTCTTGTCCGAATAATCCAGCTCGGGTTTTGTGCCTCTCACCTGGATTGTTAATTGCTTAACAATTGCTTATCCAGGTGAGATAAAAGAGGAAGGCTGAAACAGGATGTTGCTCTGGCCTGGGACTCAGAGAGCATTCTGAGAGAGCTACAAGTTGGATGGTTGTGAATAGAGGGTTGCTGAAAGTCCTTTTTGTTTTGTGAGGGGGCTGAGACAAGCTCACCCCCTGGTAGATAGGAAACCTGCCTGTTTAGTCAAAGCCTGAAAGGCAAGGATTTGTTTTCTCTTTTATTTTGTTTTATTGCAACCTTTTTAATAAAAACTGACTGCTAGTCGGATTGAAAAATAACTTTTGCTGCCTGGACTACCTTTTTAGTCCATTTGAGCTATACCCCCACACTGTACAAGTTAATCATTCATTGTTCTATTAGACTAAGAAACACAACTATGGGCAGGCTTTACTTGTGTAGTAAACCACCATTGATTCAACAGGTTAATTTATATTCTTGGGCAGTATTTTCACATGCAATCAAAGCAATTTACAGTGATATCCTGTCTAGACACAAACATTTAACCTTTTATTCTCCCTTTTGTAGGACTCTCACAGTGGGCCTGCCTAGTAAAGTAAATATTTTTATATATAAATTTACAAAATGATGATATGTGAAATGACTAGCTGGTTATTAAATTATACACACAATATACAGCACTCTTCTTCTTCCAGTTGTGATAAAAATAAAAATGCCATTGATAACACAATGAATATGTCTAAATGTCTCTCTTTAACTGGCAAGGCCACACAACCTACAGGAATTTGACATCACAATAGCACAAATGACAGTATATGTGCCCTGTTGATGAACTCTACAACACATTGCAATTACCATCCTATAATTACTGTGAAGCAGTACAGCAGATTCGGCATGGCCTTCAAAAACAGAGAAATATTTGTGACCTTCATTAACTCCTCTATAAACTCCTCCTTTTCTGCTTAACCATAATATAACCAATCGTTTAAATTAAAGATTGTTATCAATCCTGTGCTGTCTTACATTCACTATTGTCATTGTAAGCAACCTAGTCAAGTCTTCAAATACACAACAAAAAAGGCTGGCTGCCAAAAAACAAAATCCAGCCAACTGAATGTGTACATATTGGCTAAACAAGCTTTAAATGTTCTATTTATTAACAACAGTAATGCTTTTAATTATATATTATTACACAATATTTGATAATAGCATTCACCATTCCAACATGATGATTCAATGGGCAGGTATCCTTAGATAGATTTACTTTGATAAATTAATGAATTTATGTACACTCAGCTCTCTGCATCTTAGCCTTTCTAGCCAATTACATCATTTTGAGGCTGCATATATTAAATCAAGCAAATAAACTAATAAAAAAAATGACTGACTTTATTGGTAAGTGCATTTTAATATATGTGTATATTTACATGAAAAGCCTTCCACAATCTAGATCATACCATTAGCTATAACATTATATCTATATATATATATATTTATTTACCTATAGATAAAATACTAATACATTACTGTATTCTGTATTGCTCATCTTCTGCTGCATTATGTCTACAGCTCTGTTGATTTTGACAGCATTAATGATGAAAACCAGAATTGCTTGCAATCTACAAAAGTGGCATACACAACAACATTGATTGTAGAAATTAAAAGCATCACCATATCTATCAGCAACATCCACTGTAAACACATAATTACAGATATTTTTAATTGGGCATACAATAAGACAAAGAATAAATAGGATAGGATTTGTCACTTACCTCTACAAAATAAAAACATGGGAGTAATGTGACGCTGTCTTTTGTGACCCTCATCTTTTGCCGTTCCTTTGCAGACATTTTTGTTTTTTAATCAGCAGAATCCTCTCTTCCAGGCAAGCTGATTTAAAATGATTTTCCTTTTGCAGACCTAGAGCTCAGCATTGATGTACCATTCCCTAGTGCCACCTATGGAGTGTGCAGCATTTGGTCCTTTTTTTTTTTTTCCTCTCGCCTTCTCTCTCTCTTTCTCTCTTTCTCTCTCTCTCTCTCTCTCTCTCTCTCTCTCCTCTCCCTCTCTTTCTCTCTCCCTTGCAGCAATTCAAGTTCCCACACAGTCAGAGAAAATTATTCATTATGCCTTACAGAAACAGTAATGGCTCCTATACAAAAACACCCCCCTTGCTCTGCTCTTGCTCCCAATAAGCTCCTATTCACTTAAGCATTAGAATTCACAGCTTATTGTGTGTAGGTCTGACGTCAAAGAAGCTACAGAGAGCAAGAGGAAAAATCCCTGGGTTTTATGTGCTAGGAGGTTGGAGGGATGATGTAAAATATGTCACTGAAGACCAGAGAGAATCAGTTGGTTGTCAAATGACCGAATGAAATGACCCTGACTATCAATGCTGAATTTAACCTTATTATTACTGATGACTTACATTATATATATATCAATGCTAGGAGCGGTAACCCCGAGCCAGACTCGGGGCTGCTGAGAAAAGTGACACTCACCTTGTCCCTGCGATCCCACGGCGTCCTCTGCTGTACGTGGCTCGAAAATTAAACTAACAGCCGGCATCTGACTTTTAGTTTCGTTTTCGAGCGTCACAGCCGGCGGGAAATTCAAAAGTGAAAAGTTGCCCAGTTGATGTACCCAGAATACACACAATACAATGTAATCTGCTATGATTACACTTATATATCAAACTATTTCACTTCAATTTTGTCCCTAGAGCTTTGTCCAGTGCCCTGCCTGACACTTTTTCACAATTATAAGAAATTATAATATAATAAATAATTATAAAAAATCATAATATAATACTTTACAAAATGGTCCAGTAAATGGGAATTCTGGGGGCGCTGCTTGATCTGTACCACAGTCAGTAGAGTACCAAGTTCGCACATCACTGAGCTCGGTCGCAGAATCGTCGCTGTCATCACTTTCAGTGTCTGATGGCGAATTTCCCAACGAATCGCTAACGCTCAATTCTGCAAGTGATTCTAATTTACTATCGCTGTTTTCTACCTGGTCTAAAACCGCTTTTGACCTAAAGGGGCGCTTTTTGGATGCCATGGATGTTCTCAAGTTTCCAGGCAGAAAGAACAGTAAAAGTGCCAGCTGGGCACTGGACAAAACTCTAGGGACAAAATTGAAGTGAAATAGTTTGATACATACATGTAATTATAGCAGATTACATTGTATTCTGTGTGAATGTCATGTTTGCACTTTTGAATTTCCCGCCGGCTCCGCCCCCCGCTGTGACGCCCGAAAACCAAACTGAAAGCCGAATGCCGCCATCGGCCGTGCACATACAGCAGAGGACACAGCGGGCTCGCAGGGACAAGGTAAGTGACACTTTTGCGCAATCCCGAGTGTGGCTCGGGGTTACCGCTTTTGGTACTGAAAATTAACCCCGAGCCACACTCGGGAATACCGCCAGGCAGGTTAAACTAGACATGTAAATGTAATTTCTTTCCAAGTGGATATCCGTATGAATTTTGTTAAATTCAGACATTCGAATGCACTAGAATTTCCAAATTTAAAAGCATCCGAATGCAGTCATGAACATTCAGGTCCCTCCGAAATTTGTTAAAAACTAAACTAAATCGCACTGTTCTCTCTGATGTTTTTTTGGTGGTTGAGGGTTGCAATACAGGCAAGGTCATGTGACTTATTGCTGTGGATCATTCTGAAATGAAAATATGGGCGGACACAAAATCCGAAAAATAAACCAAATCGAATTTCGGATCCAAAATCCAAAAAAATGGAAGAAATGCAAAATCCAAATTGATCCAAAACGAAACTAAACAAATTTTTTGCAGGGTCACATGTCTACTCTAAATACAACTGATTGCCAATATCATCTGGGATTGCTGTCATCAAGTCTGCATTTCTAAAACAACCCATGTACCATGTACATGGTACTCATGCACATTACTCATCTGTGTTGTTAGGAATTCACTAATATGGCTAATTGGCTGCAATTGCCTTACAGTCACTCAATGCATGTTTTTGCACTTGGGAAGGAAACTGGGGCAGTCCTAGGAACCTTAAGGGTACTTACCCTACTTTAATTTAATTTCAGATGCAATAAAATAGTGTGGTAATGATTACTGAGCTGCACTAAGTTGCATCTTTTATATCTGCCTAGAGTTCAGCTTTAATTCCCTCCACTGCAGCAGCACACACACACTTTTTTTCCCTCCCATGCTGCTCCATTCTGCTGCTGAGAGTGAAAAAAAAAAACCTTTTTCTTCTGGATATGAGAGAGCTTGTGATGCTCTCCATATGCACTAAGCCAATCTCAAGCACCAGCACTATCACATGTAGTAAGTCCATGGCCTTGTGCAAACTGCGAGTGACCTTTAGCTTGCACAGGGAACGTCTCCTCCTCCTGATAGCCACGTGGAGTGGTGGGGATTGAAGGAAAGTTATGTGCTATTGGGGAAGGAGGATTGTAGTGAACCTGTTACTTTGCAGGAGCAAAGCAGAGGTTTAATTTAAAGTACACCTGTTATGGCAGAAATATGGTGACTGTTACTGCCAAATGTCTTCTGAAAATGTCTGTGTTTAGCCTCAGTATTAGTATTAAAATTACATTAAAGTCAAAATGTTTTAAGCTATTCCAAATGCTAATTAAATCACTTACAATAAATGGTGCTCCTTGATGTTTAAATGTTTTAGCTTCTTTTAAAATCAGCTGGTCCCCTGAGACCCTTTCCATTGCAGGGTCCTATGGAGCCACCCTTGGTGTGCTAGTAAGCTGTGTGTGCATCCACAAACACACAGACACAGCAAGGCAGGCCAGTCCACTGTTCTTTTCTTCTCCTTTCTCCAAGCTAGTAGATGGACAGCTGCTGGAGACTGTGCTCTCCCTTGTGATCATGTACTGGACAAGAAGTTCAGGGTAGCTGAGCTGAGAGAGCTTGAGCTATAGATGACTATAAGTGCTTTGGTAAAAATATAAAGACATATTATGCTGGGCAATGTAAATTTCTTTAATATTGATTAATGATTAAAAAAAAAAGCATGAGCATTTAATACCACTTTCATTTCTTAAATCTTATACCTGATACTAACAGCATTCTAGATCACCATCAGCATGACAACCAAGAAACTGGCAGTTTTATTTGAAATCTGTTGTGCAACAGTTACAAACAAAAATAGAAGAGGCATACATAAATGATTAACACAACTTGCTCAGTTTATTCAATATTTAGTCATAATACAGAACTTTAGAAGTCTGGTCATAACCCTGGGAGCTGAAGTACAGTAGGGAAAAGCTAAAGGAGGAATAGTAATGGGAGATTATAGGATGGGAGGGGGAGGAGGGTTACTGCCTCTAGAGGTGGTCTAGCAATGTTGTGAGTTACCTGCATAGATACAGAATTTAGTGGGGCTTTAAGGACAGCAGCTTGTAATGCAGCCAAGGTTCCCAGAAATTTAGAGCGTGAGGCATTGAGGAAATTCATTCATTTTCAAGTTCATGTAGGTTTTCAATTTGATCAAGTTTACACTGGCTTTTCCCCAAGAACTGGCTATGATTTGTTTTGCAGGCTTGCTGCTAATTTTGGTTGGATAGTTGAGGCCCCCTATTTTGTTGCAAGACATAAGATCTTTTCCCTAGTTTTGGTCTATGTGTGTGACTTTTGGCATGTATACAGGGTTGAGAAAGGAGTTAAGTATAGATGGTAATTTTGGTAAGTTTAGGTTATGGAGGCATACGTGTTTGGACATGGTTGTCACAAAACAGAGATTGTGTCCCTCTAGAGATCTGTATATTTCTTGTAATAAAGCTTAGAGTGTCCAAAGATTCCCAGGAAGGTTTTTTCTCTGGCAATAATAAAATGGTATACAGTACTACAGTGATACGTTTCGTGGTCCACCAGTGAAAGGAAGTGGCACTCTGCAGCCCTAGAACCTAGCATTTTCACAAGCCAAGGTTACCGGCTACTTATATATCTCATGACGGTTTTCCTTTACCGTAGCAGATGAAATAGTAATTTGTTACTAAAAGTAACAGATAGAACATATTTTTATTGACCTTGACTTTTTTCTATGGGGAAAATCAGATGGTATTTTACATTCAGAATTTTTTTTTACTAATACGTGCACTTTTAAAACACCGAGCTCCTGTAAAATAACCAGGCGAATCAAGCAAGCGTAAATAAGTTCAATGACTAGCAGGAAAACATTCAGACTAAACCAACACTTGTATTGTTAAAGTCAATGTGTGATTTTTTTTGTATTTCTTACATAGTTGCATAGTATTTGAGGTTGAATAAAGACACAGGTCCATCAAGTTCAACCCATTGCGTGTATGCATGTTACTCTGGATGTGTATGCTTGTGTATGAGTCCCCTTGTGTTCTTGTTCTTAACAGAACCTTTACCCCTGAATATTACGGTATCTGAGGAAATCGTCAGTGTTTTTTGAAAGATTCAATACTCACAGCTGAAATCACTTTCAGCGGCAGTGAGTTCCAAACCCTAACCACCCGAACTGTGAAGAAGCCCTTCGCCCCTTGTGCTGAAATCTTTTCTGCACCAGTTTTAGGTGGTGGCCTCTAGTCTTTGTTATGGAGTTTACCATACACATTTTATTGCTGATGTTGCCATCACCATTGAACATTGTGTACATCAAAATCATGTCCCCCCCTAATCTCCTCACTTCCAGCGTGTACATGTTTAAATTTAGTAACCTTGTCTCATAGCTTTGGTCCTCCATCCCCTTAGTTTGGTTGCCCTCCTCTGGACTCTTTCCAGCTTGAGGACATCCTTTCTAATTATTACAAATTATTTAAATTATTTAAAAAAAGTGAGGTTTTATGTTTTATTGCCGTTGTATATTTCATATCTATAATTTCCAGCCTTCCTTAATTATACATTTCTCCAGCTGAATCTTTGGATTTAATAGTTCTTTAGTTAAAGTTCAGATTAAAGACGAAGGTAAATGGATTAGATGAAAAACTGACTCCACTCTGACTCATCTCTCCTCCTTAATTATTAGCTCTGTATAGAATATCATTT